TTAGGTACAACTACATCGGTTGTGTGGCCCGACCGCTCAGCCACCGTCCCTTCTTTTCTTTGACCCGTATGTTTTTTCGCTAGCAAAGAAATCACTTAAACATGAGCGTAACAGCGTAGATCCAATTGTCTCGTGGACGTTCACAGTCCCATGCTCTGCCTTCTTGGGTGCAGGGGTAGCCAGGTCGCGTGCCACATCTGTGTGTTTTCCACATGAGCTGCGTGAGAGAGTAACCGCTTGAGACTGCGCGCAGCTGTCATTTCTAGTCGGGGCGTCGTCGTGATTCGGACATCGCCGCCCTTCGCAGCGGATTGAATTGCGCCCGCGGACCAAGTTTGGGGGGTACGGCGCGCGTCCAGGAACGGGCCGCCGCCCCGTTCAAGCAAATGCCTGGGCCCTTGTTGCAGACCGTTCTTTAACCCGCCCACGGCATGTCCAAATTAAGCAGAGGAGGGGCTTTGGGGCATGCGGGAGGAAGAGGGAGGCCCCAGGGAAGGGGGCTGGAAGGCATGACCCATTCGGTTGGACGGGTCCCGCTTGGCCACACGCAGTGCTGTCTTGTGCGTGACTGCTCTGGCAGACGGCTCGGCTCGGGCGCGCGGATGGCGCCCTAGGCGACCCTGAAGTTCTTGTTAGTTTTTTGGGGGAAATCCGCTTCCAAAAAGTTTATGTTGCGTTTCCGCGTGACCCTTTCGCTTTCCCACGACCGGAAGGTTGCAATTTCTCGCGCGACGTGAACTTCTCTGGGCGGGGAAATCTTTACGTTAGGCTCCGCTGCCTTAGTTTTGCACTTTCGGCGCAACGAATTGTTTGGCTGCCCGGTTTCGGGAGAATGTGTCTGAAATGGATGAGTCCATTTTGCCTCAGGCTGGCTTTCTCGTGCGATTCGAGAAGCCGCTCGGGAGGGCACCCGTTCAAGGGTTGAGAGCACAGGGGCCCTGGAAGCGTCATGCCCAGATGCCCATCATTATTTTCTTCCTCCTCCTCCCTTCCATTGTTCTCAATCGTTGCGCCCCGCGTTTCGGATCCGCCTTCATTTCCTCCCTCCTCTTCCACCTCTCGGTCGCCACTTGGCTCTCGCCCGCTCTTGACCTTGTCTGCTGCGCTCGTTTCCCTGGGGCTCGGCGCGCACGCTCTCCGATTTGTTCTTGCGCCACGTTCAAGCCACTCCCGCGTCCGGGCTTCCGGGCAGCAGCGGCGCGCTCGCGCCAGATAGCCCGAGACTGGTACGTGTTACGTTGACGCTGTGTTTCTTGACCCTTCTCCCCGGTCCGCCCGTCAGGAAAAAGAGTTGGCCCCTGCGTCGGGGCTCGGCGGCGCGCGCGCGCGGGCCGAGCGCGGCGTCGGCGCTCTGGAAACGCTCAGGAGCGGTAGCGAGAGAGAGAGAGAGAGCGAGAGAGGAGGAGAGGGACCAGTGGCCGCCCGGGAGGTATTGGGCGCGTCGCGGCCAACCGCGCCAAGAACACGGCCGCGCATCGTCTTCGGCAACACCCCCCCAGTACGTGCCCATCCCTCTTTCGTTTTGCGCCTCGTGCACCCGCTCCTTTTTCACACGAGGTACTTGCACCAGGTAGCGCTGGCACAGCACTGGCAACGCCATCGCGCCACTTCGGCACCTTCAGCCGCTTGCAGCGGCGACCGCCACGACAGAAAATCACGAGGCTGAGGAGGAAGACCAGTGTAAACCTAAGACGCATCAGCGAGATCGCAAAGCAAAACGAAAAAAAAAACCTCTTTAGTCCCCCCTTCGCAGGCCCAGGTCTCTAAAAGGAGTCCTTTTCTCTGAAGGGAGTGCCCCGTTGGAAGACAGTCGTTGGAAAATCCGGAATTGTACCAAAACGCCACTCCTGGGACTTAACCGCCGCGTGTCACTGTTTCTGTTGCGTCTTGACGATCCTGAACCGCGCCAGAATTCCATTCCTGGGCCATCAACACCACGCGTCAACGTCACTGGTGCGCCTTGACAGTCCGACATCGCGCCTGAACACCTTCCTTTGAACGTTAACCATGGGCATTTTAAACGGAGTTGCTAATTCACTTGTTGGGGCGAATGTGCGGGGCGGACCACCTTCCATCCGTGAAGCTCTTGCAACTGTTTAAGACGATTGCGCGCGGCACCTAGGTGATAGCCATGTTTTGAAAGCGGGCCGCCTTCCATTTGCGAAACCGTTGCAAAATTCAAGCTTCACGGTCATACATGGCGGGGACGAATCAAGCGAAGCGAGCGGCCCGTTCTTTCGACCTGCTCGGGGTTCGATTGGGAGGAGTTGTTCATGAGGAGGGGAAGGGACACGAGGGGAGGGCGATGTAAGCATAGCCGTGGTGCCCACGGCAGAGCCATGGTGGTGTCGGGATCTGGGTACCGCTGTCTTCCTCCCCCTCTTCTTCCTTCCTTCCGATATCGGTCATCATTATTATTTTGTTATGTCTGTGTGTGTCTCTGTCTGTCTATCTGTCTCTCTCTGTCTGTCTGTCTGTCTGTCTGTCTGTCTGTCTGTCTGTCTGTCTGTCTGTCTGTCTGTCTGTCTGTCTGTCGGTTATGTTATTTCGTAGCATGGTGTCCACCACCGCCGAGGAGGAGGACGGGGGGAGGGGGAGGGGGTGGAGGAGTAGGGTAGGGTCAGGAGTTTTGGATTCGCGCGTCATTCCGCCAGTTCTGGCCCACCAAGCTTTGGCGGGACACGCTAACCACTTCCCAATGCCGAAGCGTCAACATCCCGAGCTGTTCCGTACCCACCCCCCGCGAAGCGGAACGACACGCTAGCCGATTGCAGGGCATAGTGCGTCGTTGGGGCCGCCGCCGCAAAACGCCGAACACCAATCTCGAGCGCAGGGAGAAGGAGGTCGCCATGACGGTCATGAGTCCTGAGGGGAACGGGTCCCGGAGTTGTTTTACCAGGTTCGGGCCGGGCCTGTCAAAACGCAGCTCTGCATGAGAAGTTGGTCCCCAGAGGACCTTGAGATCCAGGATTCGTTTCCTTCACGACCCGCTTCCTTCGTGCCAGGGATGTGGAATAGAAGGAGACATGCGCAAGGGGAAAAGGAGGGGGCTGAAGGTTAGCTGGAGTGGGAGGAAGGAGGGGGAGGAGGGGCGGGCATGGGGATGTGGAGGAGCTGGAGGAGTTGGAGGAGGATCAGCTGAATGAGGAGGATGATGAGGGGCTGGTACGGGGGAGTGGGGAGGATAGGGTGGGGGAAAGGCGAGGGGAAGGGGCAACGGGCAACGGAGAAAGAGGGAAAGCTAGGTCCGCACGCGCCACAGCATGCGTCATCTTACCCCTCCCACCCATCCCTTCCCGTGGCGCTCAACCCGTTCCACTCGGGGGAGCGTAAGACCCGGGTTTGCCGGGACTCGGGTTCGCCATCGTTTTTTGACGACCGCGACTCGGATCTTGACGAGGAGGAGTTTCGTGGGATGTCTGCAGCGGGAGGCCTCGTCAAAATGCAGGCTCGGCCTCGTCATTTTTTTGACGACCTCGTCGGGGATTTCCGAGTCCCCCGTGCCCGGGTCTGACGTCTCCCCGATCCACCTGCTGGCAGGGGTGGGTCCAGGATTTTGACCCCCGTTTGCTACTGTCGAATCGGAGAAAAACGGGGGCCAGGGGGGGGGACTCTTGGGGGGGGAGAAGCCGGAGCAGCATCGGGAATGAGGAGGAGGAGGAGGAGGAGGAGGAGGAGGAGGAGGATGTTGAGGGTGATATTGAGGAGGATATTGAGGAGGAGGAGGAGGAGGAGGAGGCGGAGGCGGAGGGGGAAAGGGAGGAGGAGGAGGAGGAGGAGGAAGAGCACCAGCAGAGGGCGGAGGAGGGGAAACGAGGGGGGCGGCCACGACGGGGAACGAATCGGATGCAGAAAGGTGGTCGGCGCTGATCAAGCCACCGATCCTGAGACGCGGCCAGTCAAAAACATCCCGATCGAACAATCACAGAGGGCATACCAATTGTAGACATCCTGCGTTTGAGAAAACAGAGCGCGGGAAAGGCGGGGACACGCTGGCAGAGTGTCACGGGGGAGAGAGGGGATGAGCGTTCATACTGAGCACGAGATTGTAGAGGGGTGGTGGAAGGTGGGGGCGGCGGGGCGGACCCAGATAGCACACGTCGTCGTTTCATCGTGGCGTTGGCCCCCGGACCGCTGGATCCCAGCCAGGAGACCTGCTTCCCATCCCCCAAGAGCAACATCGAGAGCGAGGACCTCTCCTTCTTTGCCTGAGCTCCTGAGGGTCGCCCAGGAACCCACGCATGAATTGCACCTGAGAGTCGTATGAGACGCGGCTGTTGAACGCCCCTGAAAACCGAAATCTGATGCCCCCCGCTGTGCCCGAAGCGGGCCCATGTGGGAGCGCGAGCCTAGGACAACATGCCCACAGACGTCCAGCGGACCCAGGCCCCGTCACGTCGCGAAAGAATCGGGATGGACGGTTGTTCTATACGTTTGGCTTCAGGGGGCCTTTGCCGGACCCCGGGGCTGTCAGAAACGGTTCAGGATGGAAGCATCAGCCATTCCCAGGGAAGGGTTCCCGCCCTTCTGGGGCTCTCGCGCTGAACGAATTATAACGTCGGGGGTCTGGGGGAGGTTCGAATGCAACCCCTGGAAGGTCGTCAAGTTCTGATGATGCCCTGGTCCGAAATCCGTTTTACATCGGCTCGGTCCCGCTTGATTCCGCTTTATCGGGCTTAATCCCGTTCAGTCCCGCTTAATCCGCGGCCTAATCCAGCATAGCCGCCCCACCAATGGGTTTCAAGTTTTCCTTATCCTTCCGAAGAAGACCTCCCAGTAGTTGCCTCTCAGGGGGGGGAGAAGTGCGCAGGCTCAGAACTGGGGCGCGAAGTCGCGAAATCCTTTTAAAATCGATCCCCTGACCCCTCCCTGGGTCCACCTTGGCCAGCGTTTCGAGCTGCGTCCAACCGTGCGAAGAAACTTTTACGAAACGCAAGCGTCCTCCGAAAGCGACGACGACGAGAGCGACGAGAGCGACGACGTCGGCGACGACGGCGACGACAACGACGAGAGCGACGAGAGCGACGACGATTGACGACCACGGCGACCACGACGACCGTCATCGTTGTCGGTGTCGTCGTGGTAGTTGTGGTGGTCGTCTTCGTCGTCGTCGGCGGCGTCGTCGTCGTGGTCGTCGTCGTCGTCGTCGTTGTCGTTGTCGAAGCTGTCGTTGTCGTCGTCATCGTCGTCGTCGCCCGCGCGGCTCGCACTCCGTGGTCGTCGTCGTGTTCATGCTGGTCGTTGTGGTTGCTGCCGCCGTGGGCGTGGTGGTGGTCGCCGCCGCCGTCCTCGCAGTGGCCGGGGCGGCCGTCGTGGTCGCCCGCAGACATCCGACGCCATGATTTGTTCACAGCGTGCCGTCCCAGTCTGGACCGCTTCCCGAGAGCCCGGCAGTTCACACGAAGGAGAAAGTATCCGACGCGCAGATCCCCATATGTGCATCTCAATTCCTGGCACTCCCTTCTGTGAGCGTCTGAGTGAGAGAATCTTGGCCTGTGGCGACTACTTGTTCCCCGGCGGCTCCCCCCAGGAGTGCCCAAATCGTTCGCCTGCTGCATCTGCATGATCCTGGGACTCTGAGAGGAGAGGGGGCGGGGGTGCCTAAAGCAGCGTTTCGCCTGAGAGGTCCACCGATCTAGGCGAGAACTGGCGAGGGCAGCACAGGGCACCACCCCTTTTCCGCCGTGCCAGCAACATCGTGGTGATCGTGGCGCCCTCAAAGGAAAATTGATATAGGCAAGCCGCGTGAGACATTCCCACAGTCTAGCGGCTCCCCTTTGGGGTGCTGGAACCAGCGCCTCGCTCCAGGCATCCTCGCAACCTGCTCTGAAATATTCGTGGCTCGAAGTCCTACGACGACGGCGGCGGCGGCGACGAATGTGGGCGCGAGCGGGGGAGTGTCCTACCTCGTGGCGGTTGCCCCTTGGTGAAGGCGGAAAAGCCTGGGCAACCCTGACGAGGCAACCCGCTCCAGACATCCCCACAGTTTTGGGCGAGAACGCGGAGGTGTCCTCCCCCCTGGCGGCGGCTTTCCGTCGAAACGCGCGTCTCGTTCGAGACATCCGCACGGTCTGCTAAGCAGAGGAGTCTGGGCCACTGGGCAGGTCGTCGTGTTCTTATTCGTTGTTTTGCCGATCGACGCGGGCCCTCGCACCCCCCCCCTCATGGAGTAGATCTCGGCGGATTTGGGCGCATGTTTCAATCAGGTGGGGCCTCCACCATGCATGAGATGCACTGTTGCAAGCAGTCGCATTAAGCAGAGGCCCCGGGCCAGTCCCCCCATCTCCCCCTTCCGCCCAATGTCGACACGCCGAGTACCCACGAGAACGCTCACCAGGCCAATCGCCCGAGGCATCCCCACAGTCTGCGCGCGAACGCGAGGGCGCCCACACCCCCTGGCGACCGCCCCGCGGGATTGCTGGAGCCACTGCCTCGCTCGAGACATCCACACGATCTGGTCAGAATTCGGTCGGGCGCGTCCCTCTACAGGAGGACGATTCAACAATCGGACAACATGGTCTGGTACAGATTTGTTTTGCTGCTCTTGATTCTGTTACACAATGCTTGTTGTTTGCATATTCTTTCTACCTGTTCTTCCCAAATCCGCCTGCAGGAGGACATGCCCGACCTACGGCTTGAAAGCAGACGAGCCTGGGCCACAAACAGACCGCCTGAGACGTCCCCAGCATCCGGGCCCGAACGGGGCCGTGCAGCCACTCCTGGCGGCTCCCCCCACAGAAGGTTCTAAAACCAGCGCCTCGCTCAAAATATCCTCACAATCAGTTCTTCGGCCACACGCCTGTCCCCCAAACCGGTGGCTTCCCTTGCGCCCGACGCTGGCTCGATGCGGGCTCGAGGCAGATTCGGCGTGGACTCGACGTGGATTCGCCGCGCATTCGACGAGCCTGACATGGATTCGACACGGATTCGATGCGGCTAGGGGCTCGACGGGACAGACAAGGTCCCCCGAGATCGCAACATAGGGTAGAGGGACACAGTTAGTGGACACGCCCCCGCCCCCCCAAAGCTCACAGCTGGCACTCGCGGGGCAGGCTGCGGCCGAAGTGCAACTCCTCCAACCCACCGCCAACATGGATCATTGGGGGGCATTGACACATGGATGTGGCATGGATGTTCGCTAGTTCCTTCCGAGGCCTGTATGAGCCCGCCTCGGGCCCGACGGTGATATCATATTTCAGCTTTCAGAGGCGTTAAAACAGCAGCGCCACATGCAGCTCTCAAGTGCAATGCATGCGCGGGGTACTGGGCGACCCCCAGGAGCTCGGGCAGAGCAGGATGCCCTCGCTCTCGCGATGAATGGTCGCTCTTGCGCTCGTGGGATGGGCAGCACGTCTCCTGGGTGGGATCGAGGGGTCCGGGGGCCCGTGCACGCCAGGGTATTAGGCCCCTGGAGACCAGGACACAGATAAACCAGGACATGGAAAACCAAGAAAACGATATCTGTTCCTGCAAAGTCACGTTTTTCAGCACCCGTGCATGTTTTGTTTGCTGCGCTGCAGGATTTGGGTTTGTGTCCGGGATTAGGGGTGCCTTGCAGGCTGTTTGGGGCCCGTGTCCGGGTCAGTTCTGGAAGTGCTGCAGCGCAGTGATCTGTTCGTGCCGCCGTTGGGAAACCTTGGCTTCGAGGGATGTTGGGTGTCCGGGTCTGGCGTGTCTGGGTCTATGGGGCCCTGAGGTCAGGAGTAGGGGAACAACAAGTGACATAAACATAAAAACTCGGAGGTCCGCGCGGATTTCTCGGATCGGCGCCGGACCCCCCTCCCTGGCGCGCGGAGCGCGCCAGGGGCGGCGCAGGAGGCGCCGCCGGGGGGCCCCAGCGCCGATCTGAGAAATCCGCGCGGACCTCCGAGCTTTCATGTTTATGCGAGTTTTTGTTCCCCTGAGGAGGGGCCCCCCCGCCCCGCCCAGGTCACAGGCGTTTGCGCCGACCCCCCGCCGCCCGGGCGCCCCGCGCCCGCCGAGCGCGCCCGGGCGCGCCGCGCCCGCGGCGCCCGCCGGCCCAGGCGCACCGCAGCGACGGCGGCGCCGCCGACGTCGACGACGATGGCGCCGCGGGGGCGGCGTCGACGACGACCGTCGCCGACGAGGCGCCGGCGCGGCGGCGGCGGCGGCGCCGCGGAGCTCGAGGGAGTGGCCACGACGAGCGGCGGCGGCGGCGGCGGCGGCGGCGACGGCGGCGACGCAGCATCACGGCGGCGGCGACGGCGACGGCGACGGCGACGGCAACAACGGCGGCGACGGCGGCGGCGACGGCTGCGGCGGCGGTGGCGACGACGGTGACAGCGGCGGCGGCGCGGCAGAGGAGCCGGGCGGAGTACTTCGCCCTGCGCGCGGGGCGCCTCGCGCTGGCGGTGTCGGGGGCGAGCGGCCGGAGCGAACGTGCCCCCCCCCCCCTCCCGCCAGAGCGCGGGCCGCGCGGTGGGCGCACGGGCCTGCGTGCTCCGAGCTCCCCCCAGGATGCAGCCAAGACGCTGCAAGAAGGACCACGTGGGGCTCAGGAGGGGCTCTGGTGTCCAGGCCGCTTGGGCTCAGATCTATAGGCCAAGGAGCCCCTTCGTGGCCAGGGCTCGCCATGGCCAGAGAAGCCCCCCTGCGTTGCCAATTCGGCGCTCCTCGTGGCAGCGCCATGGCTGTACGAGCAGGAGCTTTGGCTTAGCGTGTCGCGCCCGCGCTCCCGCGCAGCACGCCATCTACGTCGCGGTACCCAGGCGTCACAGTCCCGAGCTTCCCCGAGTCTCTGGGGACTCTGGGGAACAACTCGGGGGAGGTCCAGGGCTGGATACCCTGCGCTTCTTGCGGCCAAGCACTTTTGGATCACGTGGCGTTGCTCTGGCTCTGGACCACCACGCTTCGGCGCGGCACGCTATCCACGTCCCAGCCTCCAGGCGTCAACGTCTCGAGGCGCGCTGGCGGTTTCCGTGGCGAGCCGGCCGGAGCGCAACCCCCTGCCAGGCCTCGGGCTGTTCGGGGCTGGCGCCCGGGCCTTGGTGCTCCGAGCTGCCCGGTGGCAGTCGAGGAGTCGCAGACGTGCCCAGGCCACCCAGGAGGATGTCTGACATGGTGGCCCCGAGCTGGAACCACGCGTTTTACGTGCCCAGGCCGCTCAGAGGGGGCATCTAACATGGTGGTCCCGAGCTGGAGCCAGGTGTTTTTACGGGTCCAGGTCGCCCAGGGGTGGATCTCTGAGATGGTTGCCTACTGCCCCTCGCTGGTGTTTTCACGTGCCCAGGCCATCCAGAAAAGGTATCTGGCATGGTGGCCCGAGGCTGGAACCGCGATTTAACACGTGCCCAGGCCACCCAGAGGGGTATCTAACATGGTAGCACCGAGCTGGATCCACGTGTTTTCACATGTCCAGGCCACCAAGAGGGGCATCTAACATGGTTGCCCCGAGCTGGAACTACGCGTTTTTATGCGCGCGGGCCACCAAAGGGGTGGTATCCAACACGTGGTCGTCTGGGCGCCCCCAGCACGGTGGCCCACAAGAGCCAGACAAGATCAATACACCGACACCAGATGTGTAGTAACCTTCGGCTGGTGATTCTCTAGATTCCCCACCCATCGGGGTATCTAACATGGTGGTCCCGAGCTGGAACCACGCGTTTTCACCTGTCCAGGCCACCCAGGTGGATATGTAACATGGTGGTCCCGAGCTGGAGCAGCGGTCGCGGTCGTCGCCGTCCGCCGCCGTGGTCGTCGTCCGCGTTTCGGCCCGCCCTTCCTCGATGCATTTCGCCTCGGTTTGGACTCGCCCTTCTATTTTTGCCCTCCTGTGGAACATAATCCTGTCATAAGGTCTCGCCTGTCATAAGGTCTCGACTGCAATCAGCTCTGGGCTAGCAATGCGCCCAGGCAGCCCGAGCTTGAGGCCGGGCTTCGTTTTTGCATGATTCGGATGCGAGGGAAGATCTGATCCACGACGCAGCAGGGCACAGATGTGTTCAGACTCGCCCACTGCCGTTTCGGTCCTGCTCCCGAATCGAATTTGGATCTGGAGCTCGAGCTGGTCGAGCGGCCCGCGCGTTTCGATTGTGGCAAGATCTGTGGTATGCGCTTAGGCAGCTCGAGCTTAAGATCCAGATAAATTTGATCGGGGTTCTGGCGCCACGACCGATCCGATCCACAAGGTACTAGGGTACAGCATTTCGACGCTTCATGGCGCGCCTCAGTTCCGCACGGCACAGCATTGCCCCTGGCACTGTACATCACCATCGTTACCTTGAGCAGTTGCAATTGCCCGTCGCCCAAATGTGATGTCTTAACCTATTTCCGTGCTTCACATTCCTTTGTTCTTTTCCAGATTCGTGGGTCGACTATGTCTTGATGGCGTGGGCCCTTGGCGGTCTGGACCCCTTTCCCGGGGAGCGGCGTTTCATCCCGAAGCGTTTCGAGGATCATGGAGGTCGGTGAAGGCCCCCCAGAGGCCGAACATAGAGCAAAACCTTGCGTCATGATTTTGCTAATTACCTGAAGGGATTTGGGGGGTGCATGGTTGTGTGTGTGTGTCTTGGTGCCCCCGTTTAGCACTATCGCTGGTGCAGCCAACTTTGCCTCGCCGCCGACGAAAAAGTGTGTGTGTGTGTGCGTGTGTCAGTGCCCCCGTTTAGATCTATCGCTGGTGCAGCCAACTCTGCCTCGCCGCCGACGAAGAAGTGTATGTGTATATATATATATCTATATATATAGATATGTATGTATGTATGTATGAATGTATGTATGTATGTATGGATGGATGGATGGATGGATGGATGTATGGATGTATGGATGTATGGATGTATGGATGTATGGATGTATGGATGTATGGATGTATGGATGTATGGATGTATGTATGTATGTATGTATGTATGTATGTATGTATGTATGTATGTAGGTCGGAGGTGAGGGGGTGAGATCGAAGTGGAACGGAGAGCCCCCCTACCGGGAAATCGATTTCGGTTTCGTGTTCGTGCGTGCCGTGCGTGCGGCGAGGCGAAGCTGCGTGGGCGGGCGAGAGAAAGTCTCCTGTGGCTGAGGCGCGGCCGGACCAAATGACTCCCTTCCGGGCGGCCGGGGGCCCGCGGTGTCCCGCCGGTGTCCCGCTGGTGTCCCGTGTGGCTGAGGCGCGGCCGGACCAAATGACTCCCTTCCGGGCGGCCGGGGCCCGCGGTGTCCCGCCGGTGTCCCGCGGTGTCCCGCGGTGTCCCGCGGTGTCCCGCGGTGTCCCGCGGTGTCCCGCCGGTGTCCCGCGGTGTCCCGCGAGGATGATGATGATGATGATGATGATGATGATGATGATGATGATGATGATGAGATGATGATGATGATGATGATGATGATGATGATGATGATGATGATGATGATGAGATGATGATGATGGTGTCCTGAAGAAGATGATGGTGATGTTGATGATGGTGTCGATGATGATGATAGTGTCCCGATGATGAGGATGATGATGCTCATGATGATAATGTTGATGATGATGACGATGATGGTGTCCCGATGATGATGATGATGATGATGATGATGATGCTGATTCCGATGATGTTGGAGATGATGATGTTGATGGAAATGGTGTCCCGGCGATAATGATGGTGATGATGATGATGTTGATGATGATTGTGGTGTCCCGATGATGATGTTGATGATGATGATGGTGATGATGATGATGGTGATGTTGATGGTGTCCCGATGATGATAATTATGATAGTGACGATGTTGATGATGATGTTGCTGATGATGATGATGATGGTGCCCCAATGATGATGATGTTGTTGATGCTGATGTCGATGATGATGATGCGATGATCATGATGATGATGGTGTCCCGAGGATGATGACGATGTTGATGATAATGTTGATGATGAGAACGATGATGATCATGATGGTGTCCCGATTATGATGATGATTATGATGATGCTGCTGATGATGATGACGATGACTGTGTTCCGATGATGATGATGATGCTGATGATGATGATAATGTTAATGATGAAATGATGATGGTGATGATGATGATGATGATGTTGTCCCGATGATGATGCTGACGTTGATGATGAGGTTTATGATGATGATGATGACGGTGCCCTCATGATGATGACGATGTTGGTGATGATGTTGATGTTGATGTTGATGATGTTGATGATGATGATAATGTTGATGATGGTGATGACGTTGATTGTGAGAGCGATTGTGATATCGATAGTGACATCGATATTGAGACCGAATGTGAGATCGATTGTGTGATCGATTGTGAGATCGATTGTGAGATCAATTGTGAGATCGATCGAATGAGATAGATCGAGTGAGATCGATTGTGAGATCGATCGAGTGAGATCGATCGAGCGAGACCGATAGTGAGATCGATATTGAGATCGATAGTGAGACCGATCGAGTGAGACGTTGGTTCCCCCCCTTCCGAACCTCCTTATCACCCGAAGGGTGGTCGTGTAGGTATGTATGTATGTATGTATGTATGTATGTATGTATGTATGTATGTATGTATGTATGTATGTGTGTGTCGGTGCCCCCGTTTAGCTCTATCGCTGGTGCAGCCAACTCCGCCTCGCAGCCGACGAACAAGTGTCTGTGTGTGTATGTGTGTGTGTGTGTTTGCCCCGCTCAGCTTCGCCAGTCGCACGCAGCCCGGCGGAGGCGCACACGTTGGCGTTAGCTTGCGTCCTGAGGATCACCGACCGTCTGCCGCGCAGCCCGGCAGCCTTGCCAACAGATCATCCGAGCTGGGGATGCCCCAAGAGGGGCCTCGCCCTGGCGGAATCGAGCAGCCATCCTCGCACCCTCGGCGGCAGGCCACGCAGCCAGGCCTCGAGACAAACGTTTTTTTTTGTATGGCGATGTCGTGGATCGTTTTCGCTTCGATCTCGTTCTGCCGCAGCGGCGGAGCGAAGGCAACCAGGGAAAACACGCATAGCACGAACAACGAAAACACCAGTTGGGGCAAGCCATGGCCAGGGCCCCAGCGGATGCTGGCGCGAACAGAAGCTGATTCCCAAGCGAGGCCAACGCTGGCATACCCAGACGGTCCGAAGTCGGCCACACGGGGCTGGAGCATGCATTTGTCAGGAGGGAAAAAACACACACAGACACAATTCATCTTCGAGTCCCCCGAAAAAATGGGAAAACATGGGAATTGGGGGGGAAGACAAAAACCAAGAACATGTAAGAAAATTTGGGGAATCTTTTTATTTTTGTGTGCATCTATGTGTGTGTGTGTCCCTGGGCCCCTTCAATTTGGTTGGGCAGCAGTGCTCCGAAGCAGGCTCTCGACCTCCAGGGGGGCCGCCGTCGGGCCCGCGCCGCGGCCCGCCGCCAAATTTTTTTGGTTTCGTCGGCGGCGAGGCCGCGGCGGCCCGCTCCGGCGCCTGGCAGCTCGGGGCAGCCGAGCGGCGAAAGAGCCGGCGTGCGAGAGGAGGGCAGGAAGGGGGGCAGGGCGGCAGCGCGGAGGACCTGGAGGCCCACAGGAGGCCCCGAGAAGCCCCAGATCGGCCCCCAACATGCTTCGAACCTGTTTCCAGGAGGCCCCCGACAGGTTCAGAGGCTCCCGAGAAGCTACGTCAAACTCCCAGCGAGCGGCCGGACGAGGCCCCCCCAAAAAATCCAAAAGGGCGGCAGCGCGGAGGACCTGGACGCCCGAGATGGGTACGGGCAGAAGGGGTGCAACGCCCAATGGCAGTTCCTATTCCATTTTGAACCGGGTTCGCTGTCCGCGCCGCCGCGGCCTGTGTCCCTTGGAGACAGGAGGCCGCCTGCCCAACAGCGGCCGCTGTTTGTTTGGGACAGCATGTGTTGGTGGGCATTGTACCCATTCTTTCCGTACCCATTTCGGGCATCCCAAAGGGAGAACCACCCAGACCCCGGCAATGGGCGTTCTTTAAACAGCCCTGGGCGTTTACTGAGCAGCCCTGCCCTGTTCTGTTTGCTTGCTTCCCTGGGTGCGTTCACGAACTACGGCCTCGCTCGTCGGGGTGCTTCTCAAGGGAGGGCGGACTGTTGTTGGGCATTGTGCCCATTCTTTCCGTACCCACTTCGGGCGTCCAAGGAGGACGGGGGGAGTCCGCGGCGAAGCACGAGTCCGGGGGGGGGGGGTCGAAAGCCCTGGGGGCCTGCCCGCATGAGGTAATCACGGCGCCAGGGGTGGGAGCGCGGATGGGTCCCCAGGCCGCGCGATCTCGAAACCCACTTTCTCCACCTCCACACTTCCTGATGCTCCTCCTCCTCCTCCTCCTCCTCCTCCTCCTCCTCCTCCTCCTCCTCCTCCTCCTCCTCCTCCTCCTCCCCCTCTCCTCCTCCTCCTCCTCCTCCTCCTCCTCCTCCTCCTCCTCCCCCTCGTCCTTCTCCATCTCCTCCTCCTCCTCCTCCTCCTCTCATTCCTCCTCTCACTCCTTGTCCCCCCCCTCGCCCTCCCCCCCGCGCTCCTCGCCCGCCCCCCCATCGTCGCGTCATCTCCTCCATCTCGACACTTCCTGATGCATCGTCGAGGCGTCGGCGATGCGGACGGGGACCAGCGCAAGCCCGGTCCGGGCCCGAGGTGCCCCCCGCACTCCGAGAAGGCTCTCGTGGCCCCAAGAGGGCTCGCGACGAGGCCCAGGAGGGATCCCCGAGTTCTCAAAAGGGCCCCGGAGCCGAGGGGACACTTTAGGCCGCGGTCAGGCTTGTTCCCACTATCCGAGGTGATGGCCGTGGCCCTGTTGGTGCTGGCGCTCGAGCGTGTCGGCGACCCCATGCAGTGCGCCAGGCGCCACAACCTGGGCTGCCTGGCGGTCCGGGCCCTGGCTGTGCTGAGCCAGGTTGTCGTAGTGGCTGCCCTGTTCGCCTCGGTCGTCGGCGGCGGCCTCGCGATGAGTCCTGGCTTCGTGTGTGCAGTGTCTCCAAGTTCCTTCTGGATCGGCGCCGCGGGGGCCGCGCGGCTGATGGCGCTGGCGGCGCTGTTCGCGACCTGCCCGGGCAGCCTGCGGGGCCTCGCCGGCGCGGGGAGCTGGGGGCTCCTGGCGGCCTCCAGCGCGCTCGCCCTGGGCACGCTCGGTCGCTGCCTGGCGCTCGCGTTCAGGCAGGGCTGCCCCCGATCCGATTCGATCCGATTCGATCAACAGACTTCGGCTCCGATCTCGATCCGATGCGATCTGGCGCGAACCGAGGCCCTCTCTGGGCTGCAGGGGCCCAGCCCGATCAGCGACCCCACACCAGCCGATTCGGATCCGATGCCCCGACGATCCAGGCGCGATGCGATCCGTGGTCGACCCGCCACGATGCCCCGCCCCTCTCGAGGGCGAGCACCTCCATCTGGCCGACGCCGCTGCAGCTGTCCTTCGCGGTGTGGTGCGTGCGGCTGTGCCTGGAGCTGGCCGCGGGGGTGCTCGGCGGCCAGCTGCCGCCCGCGCCGGTGGCCCGCCTGGTGGCCGCCGTGCAGGCCGCGCTCGGCGCCGTCGCGGGCCTGGGCCTCGTGCAGCCGCTGCGCGGGGGCGCGACGGCAGCCCGTCGCCCCTGCGCGGGCTGCCTGGGGCCGCTGGCGGCGGCGCTGGGCGCGCTGCTGGGCCTTCTGCTCGGCCACCTGCGCAGCAGGCCTCTCTCGGGGCGCGTCGTCGTCGTCGTCGTCGGTCGTCGGTCGTCGTCGTCGTCGTCGTCGTCGTCGTCGTCGTCGCCGGTCGTCGTCGTCGGTCGTCGTCGTCGTCGTCGTCGTCGTCTGTCGTCGTCGGTCGTCGTCGGTCGTCGTCGGTCGTCGTCGTCGGTCGTCGTCGTCGTCGTCGTCGGTCGTCGTCGGTCGTCGTCGGTCGTCGTCGGTCGTCGTCCTCGTCCTCATTCTCGTTCTCGTCCTCGGCAGTCGTCGTGCGGGGTGATCTTCGTTGCATGGAGAGCCCTCGTCGCCACGGCTGGATTCTTCTCGAGGTGCTGGTCAGAGCGCACGCTGGGAGAGGTCTGGGAAGTACTTCATTCGTGAATTTAATTGGTTTTAGGGGTTTAACAGATGGTCGCAGCCACGCAGAGGGCGTGCGTAGCGACGCCCCAAATGCTCGGCCTCCAGTACTTCTACGTGGCGGCGCCCCCTCAGGCACGCAGAGGGCACGCGTGGCGACGGGGGCGTCGCCACGCAGAGCTTCTAAAGACCAAACATTTATTAGAAAACCAAGTGTTCCCACTACTGAAATAGCAGTCTCGATACCGTTTTGCCTCCCTACTTGCCGTAGGGTCGTGGGTCGTCTCGGCCACCTGCGCAGCCGGCCCCCACTGGGGATAATTAGGACAGTGGCCACGAGACTGTGGTCGCAGCCGCCACCGCCGCGCAGTGTCGTGGACCTTTTTTGGCGGCAGGCTCGCAAGCATCAGAGAATCTATGTGTTCGGCTTGTGTCGGGGATTCGACTTTCTGTTACGCATGGTGGGGCCAGGGGCCCCAGGCGGACAGCGACGACGACGAAGACGACGACGACGACGAGGAGGACCAGGACAAGGACGAGGGCGGCGAGGAAGATGGGGGAGGAGGAAGCAGACGACGACAAGGGGGCGGAGGGCCAGCACCCCCCTTTCCGTCCTACCGGCCCAAGCCAAGAGCACGGGCAAAAGGGGGACACGCACTGGAGTCACATTGGGCCAGTATTGACACAATCTTGGGGTCAACTGAGGCAAAGGGGTCATCTTTGGGCAATCTCGAAGTCGTCTCGGGCTCATGAGGCCGTCCCTGGGCCACCTCGGTGTAAAATCGGGGTCACGCGGTAGCCTCAATTCAGTCGGAAGGCAATCGGTTCGTCTTGGTGTGCTATTTGGGCCACTGCTTAGCAGGGGGGTATTTTGGAGCGACAGGGGTAATCTTGTCATCCTTTAAAACCCTGTTGGGTCCATCTTGGAATCATCTTTCCGTTGCTGCCTATCTCGCTGTTGTTGCTACAGATGTTGTTGTTGCTGCTGGCGTTGATGTTGCTGGTGCTGCCTGGGCTGGCCGTGGTGCTGGTTCTGGTGCTGTGTTGAATTGCGGCCCTCTTGGAGCAATATTGGGGCCCTCTTGGGGCCCTGCTGGGCCTCTTGGGGCCCTGCGGGGGCCTTTAAGGGCCCTTAAGAGGCCTCCGAAAGGGCTAAGAAATTAGCACACACACACACACACTTAACACACACACACCGCCTCCTTATTGGAGAGCGTCTGGTGTTCAGTTTGTGTTAACATGTTGGGCTCTCTTGAGGTCACCTTGGGGCCCTCTTGGGGCCCTCCTGGGCCCTCTGGGAGCCCTGGGGGAACTCACACTTAACACAAACCCTGTCCTTAGTGGATAGCGTCTTGTGTTACATGTGAGATGCATTTCGGGCCCTCCTTTTGGAAAGCCCCAAAGAGGCCCAAGAGAGACCCACTAATTCCCCAAGAGAAAGTTTTTTAGTTTCCGCGTGGGGGGGTCACCATGTACCCGTCTTTGTAGACGTGCTTCTTCTTGCGGGACCCGGCTTGAGGCTCGGAGGGCTTTCAGGAGGGTTCCAACCTGAGGTATCCAAGGACTTCGCGTGAGTTTCGAGTGCGATTGCGCTGCTCCAGGGGGACTCCCAGACGGCACTAGAGCGCTCCAAGACGCCCACAATGGTTTAGAGACGGCCAAAGGGACCCTGCAGACGCCCCCTGGGGGCTCCAAGAGGACCTCCTAGGGGGTCCAAGAGGCCAACACAAAAGGTTTTTTTTGTTTATGGCTTTTGAAAGATTTGTGCGTTCTCCGTTTTTTTAATGTTCCAACGCTCCAAGACATCCCAAGAGGCCACCAAGATCGCCCCAAAATGGCCCAGGAGGCCCCCGAAGAGGGCCCCACGACGTCCCACGAGGGCACCAAGACGACCCATAAGGCCCACAATGCGGCCCAAGAGGCACCCTGGGGGCCACCAGAACTCACGTTGCGAGATTTTGTCCATCAGGGTCACCTCTTGTGAAGCGGCGTGGGCCAGGTGCCTTGCAAGGCTCCGAAAAGGCGACCGTGCCAAAATCCAAATGAAAACACCTAAGGAACATCGCAGAGGTTGGCCTCTTGGGCTCCTCTTGGTGGGTGCTCTTGGAGCGCCCTTAGGGGCAGTTTGGGAGCCCCTGAGGCCGTCTTGGGACCATGGCGCCTTGGAACACTCTTGGGTCGTCTCGGAGCCCTTTTCTACAGTCTTGGGTGCCTTCTATGACAGAAGAGTTGCCCCCGAACGCGCGGATCTTGTGCACTTATGTCAAGGTTTTATGTTTTCGGGGTCGCGGGGAACGTGTAAATTTCAAGGAATCGTGGCTTCGGGGACGTGGCGTAATGTGCAAGGATTAGGATTTCGGGGGCGCGAGTCTTGTGTATTTATACGTGTGCCAGGACCCCCATAAATTCTGAGATCCTCCCCCAGGTGAAGGTAATCAGTGCCCTTTTCGGCTCCCCCCCCTCGCGTGCACATCAACAATTCACAGTAGGAAGGACAAGCGCACGTTAACGCTGGCACACGTTCTGAGGATCCCCGAAGGGTGCGTCCTAACCAGAATTGCGAGGCCAACCCAGCCAAGGGCGACGAGGACCTCCCAGGAGGCCTCAGGGGGCGAAGACCAGGATTTGGCACTGGTATCGGCACCCTCTCCTACTCCGAGTCTTGGAGGAGTGAGGTCGCCCTGTAGGGGAACCAACAATGACATAAACATAACAATTCGGAGGTCCGCGCGGATTCTTCGGATCGGCGCTGGGGCCCCCTTGCCGCGCCTCCGACGCCGCCCCTGGCGGGCTCCGCGCGCCAGGGAGGGGGGTCCAGAGCCGATCCGAGAGATCCGCGCGGACCTCCGAGTGTTTATGCTTATGTAAATTCTGGTTTCCCAGAGGTCTGGACCCCTTCCCATGGACCCGTTTTTTCGCCCCGAGTCGTTTTTTGACGGCCCCGAGGCCCAGCGACGGCCCCCGGAGGCCGAACATGGCGAACGACCTCCCGTCGTGATTTTTTCACAGCGCGAGGAGGTCTAGGTACTCCGAGTCTTGGAGCAGTGGGGTCGTCCTTGCGCCCACGGGCGGGGTCGGGAGGAGGACGGGGAGGAGGAGGAGGAGGAAGGAGGAGGAGGAGGAGGAGGGGAGGAGGAGGAGGAGGAGGAGGAGGAGGTAGGAGGGAGGAGGAGGAGGAGGAGGGAGGAGGAGGAGGGAGGAGGAGGAGGTAGGAGGGAGGAGGAGGAGGAGGAGGAGGGAGGAGGGGAGGAGGGAGGGGAGGAGGAGGAGGGAAGGAGGAGGAGGAGGGAGGAGGAGGAGGGAGGAGGAGGAGGAGGAGGAGGAGAGAAGGAAGAGGAAGTCGGGAGTCACAAAAGCGGCATCCATCAGTGACGCGCCGCCGTGGGGACCCCGGCGGGCGTGGAAGAACGCCCCGGCCCTTCGGACAAAACCGAGGGCGTCACACGCTGGCTGCTCCTCCTCCTCTCCTCCTCCTCCTCTCCTCCTCTCCTCCTCCTCCTCCTCCTCTCTCCTCCTCCTCCTCCCTTCTCCTCCCTCCTCTCCTCCTCCTCCTCCTCCTCCTCCTCCTCCTCTCCTCCTCCTCCCTCCTCCTCCTCCTCCTCCTCCTCCTCCCTCTCCTCCCTCCTCCTCTCCTCCTCCTCCTCCTCCTCCTCCTCCTCCTCCTCCTCCTCCTCCTCCTCCTAGACTCTTTCGGACCCGCGCTCCGAGCCGAGGCCGCCGGCGCTGCTGGCGCAGCGCGCCGCGGCGTGCGCCGTGGGCGCCGGCGCCGCGGCGGGCTGCGGCGCGCTGTGGCTGGGGAGGCACCGGCAGCTGCCGTGCGCGTGGTGATCGCCGGGCGCGCCCGCGGGGCGTCGAGCACGGGTCTGCACGCCCGAGATGGGTACTGAAAGAATGGGTACGATGCCCAACAGCAGTTCTTGTTCATTCTGAACAGGACTCGCTGTCCACGCCGCCGCGGCCTGTGTCCATTCGAGACAGGAGGTCGCCCGCCCACCAGCGGCCGCTGTCGGTTTGGGATAACATTTGCTGTTGGGCATTGTACCCATTTTTTCGGTGCTTTTTTCGGGCGTCCAAAACGGGGAGTCCGAGGGTCTTTAGGGGAGCGGAGAATTGCAGGAACAACAAAACTCTGATCCAGCAGTCGCGAAGCGCCCTGGCTCGCCCATAGGCCCACCAAATAATGTTCTAAGAACCTTTCGTTGTCTGCACGAAGTGTTCTTAGAACATTCCTGTCTGAGACTGCCTTGCTTTCACACATCGGGCTTGTGTTCGAAGAACATGGTGTTTGTTATGAGAACGCCCGAAACGGTCGGTGCCTGCTCAATCGGAGGTCCGCGCGGATTTCTCGGACCGGGCTTCTCGGATCGGCGGGCTGCGATGCGCTGTGGCTGGGGAGGTGCCGGCAGCAGCCGCGTACGCGCTAGGGGGCCACATGCGAACCCTACCCCCGCCCCCCCCAGACATCGTGGGGGGTTGGGGTAGGGTTCGCATGTGGCCCCTTAGCGCGTGGTGATCGCGATTCGATGCTGGGCTCTCCTTCGTAGACTTTTCGAGATTCTTGGGCGTGTTTTCCGGTCTCGGTGCAACTCCGCGGGCGCGCTCGTCGCCACGGCTGGATTTTCCCGTCGACGCTTTGGCCAGAGTATTAAGATAGCAAAGAAAATGAATCAGCATAGCACGTAATGAATAGTGAAGAAAATGAAGTATAATATCACATTGATAAGAGGAAGAAGAAATGAGTAAAACCAAAATAGTAGTACAATAGTAAAGAGCATAACTATAAAATAGCACTCAACATAAAAAAATCAATGTATATCACGTACAAAAGACAAATATTATTTATTCGGTCGCCATTCAGAACGCACCCCAGGACAGGCCCAGGAGAGGTGCTACGACGGCCCAGGAGGGGCCCCGGAGCGGCCCACGAGGGGGAGCACGAACCCACAATTCTAGCCAAAGAGGCCCCGAGGAGGCGCTTCGAGGTTCCCAAGAGGCTCTCCAAGAGAGGCCCCAAGAGGCCCGAGAGAGCCTCCAAGAAGCCCCAAAACGGCCCCCACGAGGCTGCACAGCCTTCCTCGACGAGGTTCCCGAGAGGCTTCCCACGAGGTACCAACGAACACCCAAGAGGCCTCCCATGCACAGCCCACGCACCGTGGCGGCATGGTCCGAATGTCAATATGTGTACTACCTTCACATAGATAAACATGCATGTGTACAAGTGTGTCAATATGTATAGAGAGATACAGAAACATCTACAAGCAAATATGCATACATAGATAACCATACATACGTATATATTATGTCTGGATTCAGATGTATGTACATTCAGGTCCCAAAGACCCCCTTACACGACTTGTGGGTTACCATATGAAATGGCGGCAGGTCCCACGGCCAATCTTAAGGGAACTCCTGGGTTAAACTGGCAGTACCCAGCGGCAATGTTCGACGATTGATTCTCGAGCGCGGCTAGAACCTGAGCGTTCGCGAAGCGCGCGCGTGGTTCGAGTTGGTGATTTGCGTATGTTTCTATGGGCTGGCCTCGAACTTGCTGTGTGTTACTCATGTTCGTATACGTGTGTCCCGAATCCTATGTAATGCACGCGTGTTCTCATGGACTGGCCTCAAATCCAGTGTGTGTGTTACGTATGGTTGTATGGACTGATAACAAGTCTTGCTGTGCTGTACGAACGTTCCCACAGACGTGCCTCACCCCCACTGAGTTACAGCATTGTTCCATGGGCGGGCCTGACATCCCTTGTGGTTTACGTATGTTCCTACAGACTTGTCTCACGTCCTCCGTGTTGTACGAATGTTCGTATAGACGGAAATCAAGCCATTATTGTTTTACGTCTTTGCCTATGGTCTGGCCTTGAATCCGTTGTGTGTTTACGTATGGTCCTAGAGACTGATCTCAAGCCAGTTGTAATTTACATGTTTTGTCTACAGATTGGTCTCAAACCCTTCTGTTTTACGTATGGCCGCAGGAAGCCCCAGGAGTCCTTAGGAGGCAGGGCCTCAGGAGACCCCAAGAGGCCTCTGGAGGCACCAGGGAGCGGGTTCCACAGCGCGGAGACGGTATCGCAGCTCAACGTCGCATGGCACAGCTTGGGCGTCCTCCTGCTATTTCCCCCTGTGCCCGTTCGGTGGCGCGTTCCTTGGCGCGCTAGCGCGTCCCCTGGGGCGTCCCTTGCGACGTCCCCTGGCGTAACGTGCCCTGGCACGCACCCTGGTCCCTCGGCGCGTCTCGTGGTAGGTTCCCTGGCTCGTCCTCGTTCGCGTTCCCTGATTCATCCCCTGGCGTTTCCCCTGCTGCCACGTTCCCTGGCGCGTCCTTTGCCACGTCCCCTTGGGCGTCTGTGGGACGTCCCCTGGCATTCCTCTGGCCCGCCCCATAGCACGCGCCCTGGCACGTCCCGAGGCAGGTCCCTGACACGTTCAGGGTACGTCCCCTTAATACGTCCGACACGTCCCCTGGCGCATCCCCTAGTGCGTCCCTGGCATGAATCAGATCTTGAGCTCGAGCTGGTTTAGCGTCCCGCACGTTTCGACAGCAACCAGCTCTGGGCCAGCTTTG